GGAGGGAGGGAGGGAGGGAGGGAGGGAGGGAGGGAGGAGGGGGGGGAAGGTAAGGAAGGAAGAAGGAAGGAGAAAGAAAGGAAGAAAAGAAGGGAAAAGACAGCAAAATTAAGGTGGACAGTGCTGGAAGCTCTGTCCTCCACGTGCACACGCCTGCGTGCACACGTGCGTACACAGAGCACACACATATACTACCCACACGAATGTAGTCAAGAGGATAAAGATAAAATAATTTTTAAAAATTAGCTTGGTTGTATATTTGTGAGCGTTCTTGACATCCGTGCCCTGTGTGTGTGCGCCCACGCACACACGTGTGTACATGGTTGGAGGTCTAACCATCAAGTCCAAGGCCCATCTGAGGCCTTCGTGTTATAAACATCCTCGTAGGGATGTTTTATTGAGTCCATTTACTGAAGTTTATTTAATTGGTGCCAAATGAAGGAATCTGGCCTAAAAGCAGGAAGCACAGATGTGTGGGGTTTCTGGGACCTGCTGAGGCCTTGTGCTGTCGGTCTTCTTCTCTGCTCTTTTTTTCTGAGTTGTGGAGCCATGTCCGTTGCCTTTCATGATCAGACTGTTGGAGATCCGCAGTAATTTAGATTGCGGGCCTCCGAGGCAGGTTCACATGCTCTTCTTTTCTGAGTGAAGGCATCAGTTTTCCCCATGGGCAGGCTGAGTGGCCACCGTCACTCACAAACATCACAGGAGGCTAATTTTACTCCACAAGAAGAAAAGAGAATAATTCACTTTTCCCACCACTCTTTAAGCCCCACTGCCCTCGCTTCAGCTGCTTTCAGACCATTTTCCGTAGCAGATGGCTTTATGCAAATATGGCCAGTTATTTTCGGTCCCAGTAAACATCACCTTGCATTATGAGTAATTTCTAGATTACCAAAACTGGCATGTTTCTTTGCAAACCCACCCAGACCTAGAAGATAGATTTTCTTGTCTGAATGATCTGCCAGCCCACAAGGCTGTGGTCCCCTGACTCAGTGACCCCCAAAAGATGCCCCTTTCTAAAGCCTTACTGTCTCCCTGACTGAAGAGCAATGCTTTCCAGGGCCACTTCTTAAGCCATCTTTGACAGTGCTGTGTGTGTTCATAAAGGGGTGACCATGCTGTCTCTGAAATTCCGTAGCTATTTTTGGTCAACAGACCAAGTGTTAGTGTCACAAAATGGACGTCTTGCTTCTCCTTTCCTAGAGTTTTTAGTGTAATTATGCATATATTATACAGTGTGTGCATGTGAGATGAGCCCCTGTGCCAGCCAGAAGAGGGTGTCAGATCCCCTGGAGTGGGCTTACAGGTGTTTGTGAGCTGCCCCGTGTGGGTGATGGGAATTGAACTTGTGTCCTTTGCAGACGCAGAAGTCTATCTTAACCTCTGAGCTGTGGCTGGAGCCCCTTCCTAGGATCTCTCCAGCCCCTTCCTATTCATTATTAATTACTCTCTTTGGTGTCTCTTCTTGAAGACATTTCTACAAATCCAGTACTTTTCTGTCTTTCTTTCTTCCTTCTCCCAACAATTGTCATGTGTGTTCAGCCCGAACCTGTAAGCCACAGACACTTGAGAGAACCACGAATGTAACCTCACACGAAATAAACTTGCTTAGCATTGTGAGGTGTGTGTGTGTGTGTGTGTGAGAGAGAGAGAGAGAGAGAGAGAGAGAGAGAGAGAGAGAGAGAGGTAATTCAGTTACGAGGTTCTCGAGTGAACCTGAAGTTGCCTCAACCTCAGCTGGTTGGACACACTTTGTGTGCTGACATCACTTTGTGGAAGAACTCTCGTTAGGTCACTGGGCAGATATGTCACCCACTCGTTTTGCAGTTGTTAGAGACAGAGTCTTGTGTAACTCAAGCTGGCCTAGAACTTATTACATAGCCGGTGCGGATCTAGAACATCTGATCCCCTGCCTTCACATCCTTGGCGCTGGTGTGAGAGGTGTGAACCACCGGGCCTGGGTTACCCACCTTATTTCTTGGGACCATGTCAAGCAAACAAACCTTGACTAGGTAGCATTAAACCACGGTTTGCATTCTTGATCCTCAAATCAGAGATGTTAATTTTGTGGCCAAAATGCCATGTGTTCCCTTTAGACACACCTGAGCACCCCACAGATCATCCTGCCCATTCGTTGAATGGCTCTCGGTGACTCTTGCACACTGCCATCCTGCAGAAGGGTTGGAATCTTTTGACCTTTTGCCAGGACACCTCTCTCCTCCCATGGGAGAGGAAGGATTAGTCGAGGAAGGACTCGCTGTCATTTGGGACAGGTGTTGCCTAGGACCTTGGCTGTAGGTTTCTGCACCTGAGAGGGCACCTGCACGTGGACAGGAGTTTGGTTAATATCTGGTTAATAATATCCGCATAAACACTGTGTTCCTGTGAGCTGGGAATGGTTCTTAGCCCTCTGTTCGAATGTGTCCACTGAAAGATGAACCAGTATACTTAGTGTTTCTGATTTATCTTTTTCAGGTTGAAAATTGGTGTCCTCGTTTACCTTGGAGAGCAAAAAATCCCTATGAAGAAGCTGATCATAACTCATTGGTAAATTACTTTGGAACAGTCTTCTTCTGCTTGTGTGTTTAGGTCACATGCTGTGTGACACACCCAGCATCTTTTAGAGGTGCCAGCTGAAATCTCAGGTCTGGCTGGCCAAATCAGAGACCAGTTAGCACAGATTTATTTATTGAGTGGTTGGTTCTCTGAAGGTTCCTAAATGATGGGCCACAGAAAAGAATGAGCTCCACTGCCAAATGTGGAGGCCTTGGGTGATCTAATGAGGGGACTGGCTGTAAATAATGACCAGGCTTGTCACCAGCCTCTAATGCCTGCTAAGGAAGATTAATGAGGAAAGATAGTTCAGCTGTGGAGGTCAGGGGAGATTCCATACAGAAGATGACAAGCTGAATGTAAAAGGACAAGCAGTGTTCTGTGCGGTGTGTGGAGAGAGAGGCATGTCTCTATGGGAAGTTGGTCTTTTCGTATCATACTGCAAGATTGGGTGGGCAGGGTCATAGGTTTGGATAAGCTGGGTAGAAGATGAAATTAGAAAGATAGGAAAGGACTCTGGAGACCTTTCGATGCTGTCTCGAAAGCTTGGGCATTTTCTTTAGAACACAGACTAGTAAATCTTATATTGTTTTTTAGTGTTTTTATTTGCATATGCATGTGCCTGCCTGAGTTAGTTACACCGTTACACGCAGGAGCCCACAGAGGCAAGAAAGCACCAGATTTCCCGGAACTAGAGTTACAGATGACTGGGAGCTGCCTGGCATGGATGCTGGGACCTGAACTCCGCTGTTCTGCAAGAGCGCCCGTAACCACTGAGTCTGCTCCATAGCCCAAAGCAGACACTTTCTGTAAAAGTAGGGGTTTGGGATGTAACTCAGATGTAACTGTAGCGTGCTTACCTAGAGTGTAAGAAGCCCTGGGTTCAGCCTGCAACACGATGTAGACAGGATATGGTGGCACATGCCTGTAATCCCAGGGATTACAGGCGGTAGAAGCAGGAGAATTAGAAGTGAGGGTCGTGCTTGGCTACACAGAGAGCTCAAGGCCAGCTTGAGCTACCTGAGATTGCATCATGTGCAAAAATAATAGAGCTAGTGGGATGGCTCAGCAAGTGAAGGCACCTAGGGTCAAGCCTGAAGACCGGAGTTTGATTCCTGAGGACCCACTCGGCACCATGAGAGAACCAATGCGAGTTGTCTTCTAACTTACACACACATACACATGCTCACACATGCACACACACATTCTAAAGAAATGAAAATATAATAAACAAGAAAAAAATTAAAGCCAGATAGTAAAGCCAGGTGGCACATGCCTGTAATCCCAGTACTGGGGGAGGCAGAGGTAGGCTGATCTGTGTGAGTTAGAGGCCAGCTTGCTCTATAAAGCAAGTTCAGGACAGTCAAAGTTAGAAAAAGAAACCCTGTCTCAGGATGTGTGTGTATGGGGCGGGGGGGGGGGGGCAGGATAATATTTTCCTTTTTGCTAGACATTTAATCTCACTAACAGTTCTGCAGTCCTAACACAGAGAGCAGCCATGGATAATACGTAATGAAGGGCATGGCTGTGTTCCACTAAATCTCCATGCACTCAAACAGGCAGCTGGGAGGAAGGCTCCATGGTCAGAGTCTGGACTCCAGTGTAGACCGTGGGGATGGTTGATACAAGAAGGGAGACACATGTTAAGAATGAGCCATGGAGACTACTAAGAGATGAATTTGCTATGCTTGAGGCATCTGGTGAAATAAAAACTGATATTATCATTTTTCATCTTCTAATCGGGCACTGCTCCAGCTACAGTATACAGAATTTTGTGTATGTGTGTGTGTGTGTGTGTGTGTGTGCTTCCTGTTCCTTAAGCATTATTCTAGTCCGAATTTCAAATTGTACTCAGCTACAGTAGAACCAAATACTATCAGTAACTTTTGAAATTCATTAAAAGATCGTAAATTTTGTTGCTGTGGACCAGGACTAAGCTAGAAAGCGATCACTGGTTTCTCGTCCTCCTCTCGGGGAAAGAGGTCCTCTGCCGACCCTCGAAGGGTTGGCCGGCCTGTTGGAGCTGCTGATTCTTTCCTGGTGGTCAGCTGCTTAGCAGGCAGCTCCGAGACACAAATAAATTTTGTCACAGGGGATGTGCAGGTTCATCAGGTGTCTTAATTGTGAAAAGCTGCATGTCTGTGTAGCTCAGCTTTTACCGCGACTACACCAACTCTCTCAATCTCTGATTTTAATGATGCCCCTTGTAACAAACCATCAGTCAGGGGCCTTTGTCCCAGTCTGCAGTCCTAGATGCTCTTGCCTTTTCAGGTGTTTCTTAATGATGCTTATTTAACTGTCTGTGCATGTATGGGCACATGTATGCCACACTGAGCATGTGGAGACCAGAGACAGCGTGCAGAAATCACTTCTCTTCCTTCCACCACGTGGGTCCTAGGGATTGAACTGGGGTTGTCTGCTGTGTGGCAAGGGCCTTTCCCTGCTGAGCCGTCTCGCCAGCACCCACCCTGGGGACCCTTGAGTAGGTGCCATGCAGAGTCAAGACTACTGGCTCTCAGCTTTAAAATGTCATGAAAATTATTTTGCTTTCTACCATCTTAATCTTCTGTCCATTTTGTTACCTTTCTTTCCTCCTTTCTCCCTTCCTTTCTTCCTACTTCCTTCCTTCTTTCTTTTTTCCTTCCTTCTTTCTTTCTTCCCTAGGCGGAAATCCGTACAGATTTTAACATTCTCTACAGCATGATGAAGAAACACGAGGAGTTCCGGTGGATGAGACTTCGGATCCGGCGAATGGCTGATGCGTGGATCCAAGCGATCAAGTCACTGGCCGAGAAACAAAACCTTGAAAAGAGAAAACGGAAGAAAGTGAGTTTCTTAATTGTGTTCCTTTACGTGCCAGCTTTCCTATAAAAATTGATTTTGCAACCGGGCGGTGGGGTGGTGTATGCCTTTAATCCCAACACTTGGGACAGAGACAGACATAGATAGGAGTTCAAGGCTGGCCTGGTCTATAGAGCTAGTTCTAGGACAGCCAGGGCTTCACAGAGAAGCCCTGTCTTGAAAACAAAAAGAAAAAGAAAAAAAAAAAAAAAGATTTTGCTTGGAAACAAGATGAAAAAAGATGTAATGTGTCAGATGATGTCCCATGGAGGTAGATCCGCTCAGCCTCTCCTTGGCCCATGTTGAGGTGTTTTTGTTTTTCTCTCGTCCATTGTCTTCCTGTGTTGTCTGTGAATGTGTACACAGGCACACACGGCCCTGCGTACACGCCCGCACTCACCGCACATACACAGAGCAAGGATGGTGACTGAACTGATGCCAAGAGCAGAAAGTGGGACTGGCAGGGGCTTTCATTCCTCCCCCCTCCTCCCTCCTCCCTCCTCCCTCCCTCCTCCTCCCTCCTCCCTCCCTCCTCCTTTCTTCTTCCTCCTCCCTCCTCCCTCCTCCCTCCCTCCTCCTCCCTCCTTCCTCCTCCCTCTTCTCTCCTCCCTCCTCCCTCCTTCCTTCTTCCTCCTTCCTCCTTCCTCCTCCCTCCTTCCTCCTTCCTTCTTCCTTCTTCCTCCTCCCTCCTTTCTCCTTCCTCCCTCCTCCCTCCTTCCCTCCTTCCCTCCCTCTTCCCTCCTCTCTCCTTCCTCCTCCCTCCTTCCCTCCCTCTTCCCTCCTCTCTCCTTCCTCCTCCCTCCTCCCTTCCTCCTCCCTTCCTCCTCCCTCCCTCCCTTCTTTCTTCCCTCTCTCCCTCCTTCCCTCCATCCCTCCCTCCCTCCTCTTTCCCTCCTTCCTTTCCTCTCTTTCTCCTTCCCTCCCTCCTTCCTCTCCTCCCTCCCTCCTCCCTCTCTCCCTTCCTTCCTTGCTTCTTTGACCATTTAATTATTTTTCTCACTATAGAAAAATAGGCATAGTCTAACATAATGTTCAACATCTTAATGCACATAATTCAAAAGCATAAGGAATAGATTGGTATGTAGCCATCTTCATCGCATGATCCCACAGGAATATGCACATACATGCGCACACACACTCACAAATCACAAAAAAAGATCTTACTCACTATGACCTATACATACGCTTTAGAACTACTGACCGGAAGTGAGATAGCCGTGGGGGAGATGCTTCTAACCGTGTGTGTTAAGACAGCGACCACTGTGTTATTTCTGCGTATTTTCCACAGTAAGAGAAAAATCAAGTGGTCAAGGAAGGGAGAGTCAGGAATGGAGGGGACGGAGCAGGCATAAAAACCAGACTTCTCAGGATTTCATGTTTTGATGTGATGCTGGAATCATTTATATAGTGTGAAAGTTTAATTTTTAAAAGCCATACCTCTCTTTTTTTTCTGTTCATTTGCTTTGTCCTATCTTGAATAGTTTGTGTTTATTTTTTAGATTCCTGTTTATATTCTAATGAGAAAGAAAGAAAGGGTGTGGACTTGGGGGGGGGGGAGTGGGGAAGACCTGAGAGGAGTTGGGAGAGAGAAAACCCTCATTGGGTTATATTGTATGAAAAAAAATCTCTTTTCAGTTCTTAAAAGAGAATAAAAACATATCTGAAAATCCCAAAGAAAAGGAAGCAGTGAAGCTGATGGCGTATCTGCCCAGATTTGATGCATCCAAACGGGAGCTGCTCTCCATTTCTGTAGAATGCAGTAAACTGAACAAAGGGAGCTTGGAAAACTTTTACACTTCCATCATGTCATATGCAGAAGAATTGATAATCTTATTCTAGATCCATTGTGAATATTATAGAAAATGATTTACTGTGCTCCAGTCTTTGCAAAGTAGAATTTTCATATTAGGAGACAGTATATAACCAGCGAAAGATGAATGATACTATCTGAAGGTATTAACATAGCCTTGGGTTTAAATTGACACTACCAGTAAGAGCCCATAGTTTCTTTTATCTTTGAGGAAAAATGTAGTTCTTATTGACAGCCATTGGAAAAGGCTCCAGATAGCAATTATGTAGAGTCCCTTGAGAACTGGCCTTTGATCTCTAAATGCTTTTTCACTAGGTGGGAAAGTGGTTCTTAGGAAAATGGCTCATTAAGATCCGAGATGGAAATTACACTTCATGAGCTTAGAGCATCTCCTCATACCCAGCAACAGAAAAGCTACCAGGGGTTGTTAGGATTCTGGCCAGAGGATGGAGGCAGCAGCTGCAACTCGCTCACCACAGCCAAGCTGGATTGGTTAGACAGTCAGAGACCCAAGTTCAATGAAACATTAAATATGCTCATTTCCATGGTTTTATATTTAAAAACCTAGCTAACCTCTCAGATCATAATTAGAGTCTGCTTAAGCAACAGACTCTTGGGCTACAGAGAGAGCTCAGTTGGTACGATGAATGCTTGTCACATGGCCATATTAACCTGCATTAACTGCCCAGATCGCACGTAGAAGCCAGGTGTAGTGGTACATACCTTTAACCCCAACACTAAGGCAGCGAATAAGAAAGACTCCTGGGACTGGATGTCCATCTCCTCTGCACTGGGATGACAAGCATGCACTACCATGCACAGCTTTGTATCTGGGGATTCGAACTCAGGTCCTCATGTTTGTTCTTTAGGTCCTTTACTGACTGACCCAGCCACAGATTCCATTTTTTAAAACCAGGATAATCTGGCTATAAGTTGCACTTGTGGTTCTACCAAGGGTAGCTTACAGTTCTATTATTTGTCTAAAACAGTGGAAAATTATTTCCTTCTTTGTTTTAGACCCTCTAGAAAAATGTCATGCCCCATACCAAGACGCCAGTGGTTCCTTTGGAGCGGGCTGACTGCTCTGTGGTGCACACAGTGTGTTAGCGTGGACTTTGAACATGGCTCCAGAAGTCAGTACGTGTTTCCTCTGTTTTCTAGATCCTTGTCCACCTGGGGCTCCTGACCAAGGAATCAGGCTTCAAGATTGCAGAGACAGCATTCAGCGGCGGCCCTCTTGGTGAACTCGTTCAGTGGAGTGACTTGATTACGTCGCTGTATCTGCTGGGCCATGACATCCGGATCTCAGCCTCACTGGCCGAGCTCAAGGAGTGAGGAAATTACTTTTTCAATTTGAAAATCAGAATACAAAAACGATATAGTAAACTTGTAAAGCCCCTCCATTAGCGAACAATTTCTTGTGGAGGAAAATGAGAGTGATAATTCGCTAAACAGGCGATAAGATTATTTGAGGGAGCTAAATTCATACATTATGAAAAGGATAATATGTTTTCATTGGCGCTGCAGGCTCCTGGGCCTCATAAATGAACACTAGGAAAACTGAAGCTACAGCGCTTAGTCTTTGCTATTCCAGGTGTTTCCAGCATCTGCAGCACCAGACTATTAACTGGCCTAATTTTCTGCCTCTTGCCAAAATTCATGCTATTCCCTGCTTAACATCGAGCTTTCCAAAACTTAAAACAGGGCCAGTTCCTGTTTATAATTTAATATGAGTAAAATGGATTTCCCGAAAGCCCAGAGCCAACCCGTTCTCGATTAGCTAACTTCCAGCTCAGTCTGTTCTCTTCCCTGAGTCTTTCATCCCACTGGGATTTGTTTCCAGCTCTCGCCCCCTCTCAGGCCCTTTTCAGTTGATACAGCTGGCCAAACAGAGAGCTGGGGTCCCCACAGTCCCCAGAAAACTGCCTGCAGAAACTTCTGATCCAGCATGCAAGTCATCATGTTGCTGCGCCAACCCTTGGGAGGACAGCCTAGAGATAGTGGAGATGATAGAGGGTCATATATGTTCTACCCTGTTCTCGCTAGATCGTTGACTCGCCTAGGTTGTCGGCAGTAAGCTGAGCTGAAAGCAATAATGTCTGAAGATAATCTTGGCAATCTTTTATTGATTCCCAGATGCCAAGCGCCGTGATAAAGGGGTGCTTACAGCAGAAATACCAAGAATTATGCTAGCAATCCTGTTGATTGGGGCTGTTTCTCACGTTGAGACTAGATCTGTGTAGCCTGGGCCAGCCTTGAACTCAATATATGTAGTTGGGGATGACCTTGAATTTCTGATCTCAGCCTCCATCTCCCCGGTGCTGGGAGCACAGGTGTGCACCGCTATGTCCAGTTTATTTGGCCCTCGGTGTGGAACCCTGGGCTTTGTGTGTGCCAGGCAGGCTTTGTGCCTCTTCCGCCTCACCCTAGCCCTGACGGCAGCTGTTGGAACTGTAGTGAGCCACCTACTGTGTGTTCCACACGTTTGTGTTTTTTTTTTTTTGTTTTTTTTTTTTTTTTTGCTTTGTTTGTTATTGTGTGTATGTGAGTATGTAGGCAGATGTGTGCCACGGTGTGTGAGGAGGTCAGGGGATAACTTTCAGGAGTCAGTTCTCTCCTTCGGTGGGTTCCAGGGAGAGAGGCGAATGCTTTTATCCAAGGAAGCACCTTGGCAGCCCAAACATTGTATTGCATTTAAACTTTAGTACCTGGAAGTAGGTGCCTTTGCCATCTGTGTTTCAGAGCTGAGGAAACTGTCCTCAGACTAAACATGAAGAGGTAACATGTAGGGGGTGCCTGGATTTGAACCTGGTACCCGACTTCTGTGCAGCCTTTTTAGCATAGCCTTCCCTTGCTCTTTCAACTGGTTGGATGTACCTCAACCAGTTCTCCTCTTCCTTTACCAGGCTGCCTCCTGTTGCCTTCCTGCTTGCTTTAAAATATGTGGAACGTGAGACCTAGAAAGTCATTCACTTTGCAGCTACTCTGTCTGCCTTCCATGGGTTGGGATTCAAACTTGGGCCTGCAGAGATGACCAGTTTGCTGTGACTAAGCTGCCGATCTTTCGATAATCACAACTGCTGCATTAAATAATAATCGTACTCATTGCAATTCTGTTAATGCTAATTGAGGTGTGCATGCTAGAATGTAAGTACAGGGAGTGCTGCAGATTGAAGCTCACCACTGTGTTCCTCACACTTACACGTAGTGCCTAGGGTACTCTGGCTGTTGAAGGAATGAGAGAAGGAATGTGGAAGTGAGTGGGAAGTAGGCAGATGAACAGATGGAGGACTGTCAGGACCCACACAAGAACGGACCTTAGAGAAGCTGTATCAGGCATGAGTATTACAGAGACTCACTTGATGGTCAAGGGCAAGTCAGTAATGACTTGTGAATTTGGGATGAGGGCTCTATGTACTGTTTTTTGGAGGTAGGGGACATTGAGACAGGTCTCTTGTAACTCAGGCTTGCCCCCAATCTGCTATATTATTGAGGATGAGCTTGAATGTCTGATCTTCCTGCCTCCACCTCCTGAGCGGTGCATGACAGGTATGGTGACCTCACCCAGTTTCTGTGGTGCTGAGAATGGAGTTTGCCTTCTAGGCAAGCGCTCTACCCACCGAGCCGCATCCACAGATGTGCTTTAATTTAAAAGAGCATTGTAGAGGCAACCCTGGGAAATGGCCCCAATTCTCTGCTGCTCATTAGAATCACTTAGGGATCTTTTCATCTTACTTATTTCAAGAGCTGGGGATCTCCATAAAATCGTGGGGCAGAACATTCCCGGGTGATGAAGTCATACACTTGGAAGTTTCCTGGCATAAGCATTTTGTGATGCTCTGTAGGTGGTTCTGTGGCTCAGACGAGGTTGAGAACCAACAAACAAGTAGACCCCAGGTATAAGCTATCAGCAGCAGCCCAGAGCCGGCTCCCAGCATGTTTTCGTCAACATCTTCTGATCACAGAGCCACACTCACTGTTACTCAACTCGTAGCTGCTTTCATCCTGCAGCACCCTGTTGATTATGCAAAGATGAAAGTGTTTATTATCCAGCCTTTCACAGGAAGTCTTCCAGCTCTTCAGAAGAAATTGGTTCAGTAGAGCTTGACTTTTGTAGAAGGGCCAGAAGGGACCAGACACAGACTGTGTACAGACCGTGGCGGCAGTTTGTAACTCATGTTATTTGAAAGTGGGATTTTTGTAAATTGGTCAGGTATAACCGTGGGATATGAGCAGGGATCAGAGTGAAGGTGATGACTGGTTTCTGGGTACATGTCAGTTACACTTTGACCTATTCTGACTAGTCAAGTTCACATACCAGTCACATACGATGTCATTCTGTGAGGACATGGGCCATTTTGGATGCCAGGTTAGAGAAGGGTGGGTCACTGGCTGAAAGACAAGATAACAAGAACATCCATTCCAGAGGGCCAGTCCTACAATGAGTCAGTCAAGACCGTGTGAGACTATGTAGGGAGTTACTAGAGCTGAAAGGTTGGGAATTGAAGGTGTTAAGGAAATACAAAGGAAAGCGAGAGAGTGTCATAGGTTTTTGTGTTCACTGTGGAATCTTTCGGAGGACATATGAGCATCTGATCACCTCAGGTAGGGCTCCAATGAAAGATGAAAGAAATGGTTCCACCCAAGTCTAGCTTGGTAACCCAGTGAGTTTATCGGGTTACCTAACAAGGATTGTGAATGCGGGGTTACTTAGAAGGAACATGGTGACTCAAGGCAGCTGCACCACTAAAAAGCCCTCCCCAGCATGGTTGGCAGCTCACTGAAGCTGCGTCCCTCAAGCTCCCTGCACGGCCGCCAGGCAGCTCTGCTGGCCAGAGGATCTTCTCTCCTAAGCCATTGTCACTGCCTGTAGAACCTTGCAGAATCTTGTGTTTCAGGAGCTTCTTGAGACTTGCAAGTCTCATTTACTTCCTGAACCTTGTAGGTTTCATTTCCTGAGTTGTAAAGAGCCCCTCTCCAGGAGAGAGTATTTGAATTTGGAAGAAATTTCAGCACACTATTCAATCCTCCCCTCCCCCCATCTGAAGGGTGATGAGAGCAAAGATTCAGAGAGATGACTCAGGTTAGCTCTCTCATGTCTGCTCCACAGTGGAGATGGATAACACAGCCTCCTGAACCTCACAAGTTGTGTTTATACACCAGCATCTAATTTCCCTGGATCAGAATGGGGGCTCTGAAAAGTTGAGACAGGCTTGGATCATCAGCCATTATCTTTATAGGAACTTGAATTGTGATTTTAACCTGTCACATATGCCTGGTTTCATATTCTAAAGTTATTGCTGTTTTTTTTTTCTCTCTTTTCTTCCGTTTGCCCCACTCCAGGATTATGAAGAAGGTTGTTGGAAACCGGTCTGGCTGTCCGACTGTAGGAGACAGAATTGTTGAACTTATTTATATTGATATTGTGGGACTTGCGCAATTTAAGAAAACTCTGGGACCATCTTGGGTTCATTACCAGTAAGTACTACCTAAGACCATTCACCAACAGGGCCTGGATTGGTAGTTTTGTCGTTCAAGGATAATTAAATATTGTCTTTTGAACTTTATGGAGTGTACTTCTAATGAAATTCAGGTTACTCCCACTGACTATATGCTTCCTGGGGCTATTAATTATTTATATTGATATTCTGAGAATAGAAACAGGTGTCCAGACAAGCATGATGGCACGCACCTTTAATTCTGTGAATTCAAGGCTCTACATAGTAAGTTCCAGGACAGCCAGAGCTACATAGTGAAACGTTGTCTCAAAAAAAGAAAAAGAGAAAAAGCAGGTATCCAACAGCCTCATTTATCTTCCCCAGTGCCTGACATTCCTCTCTGTGTACCTAAGAGGATCTCATGCATTTAATCAAATAATAATTTTTCTTATTTGTTTGTTTATTTATGTGTATATGCATTCATGCTTGTGTGAGTGTGCGTATATGCATGCCACAGCATATATGTGGAGGTCAGAGGACAGCCTTTGAGTGTTGATCTTCCCTTCTACCTTGATGAGGCAAAATCTCTTATTGTTTCTGCAGCTGCCCAGCTTACTCCAGACTAAGTGTCCTGTGAGCCACACTGATTTTATCAGTGCTGAGGATATGATGGAGCCCAGGGCTTCATGCATGCTGGATATGACAAGCCTTCTATCAAATAAGCTACATTCCAGTCCCCTTTCTGTTTCTTTTCCTCTTTCTTTCTGTCTGTCTTTCTTTCTTTGTTTGTTTTGGTTTTTCAAGACAGGGTTTCTCTGTGTAGCCTTGGCTGTCCTGGAACTTGCTCAGTAGACCAGGCTGGCCTCACTCATTTGCTTCTTAATTGTGATTAATAGACACATTTTTGATGTGGTCTCCTGTGTTAATTTTCTGTCACTTTGACCAAATACCTGAGCAAGATACCTTAGAGAGGGAAAGTTATATTTTGGCTCATGGTTTCAAAGGCTTCAGTCTTCAGTCAAAGGCTTCAGCCCTTCAGTGTGGCAGGGCAGCTCATATCCTCATATTGTAGCAGTCAGGAATCAGAGAGAATGTCTTGACTGCAGGATTTCTCTTTCTTCTGTTTTCTGCCTGGAAACCCCAGCCCACAAGATGGCGCCACCCACAATCAGGGAAGACCTTCCCTTTGGTTAATAATCCTCTCTGGAGATACCCTATTATTTATTTGTTTATTTTTTTCTTCATGAATCACCATCCATCACTTTTTTCTCAGATGTGTAGAAAGAGCCGTCTTTCTTCTTGGTTAATAAGCCATATTATAAACATGATTTCTTTCCTAAGTGATAGCCAGCCTTGGGGAAAGAAAGTCAGGGTTGTTTCTGTCATCGTATGAATTGTAGACACCTGGAAAACATGCAAAGAAAACCGTGCAATCCGGGGCTCCATAGACTCTCATGCTCTCGTTATTAAGAAGGGCTGTTTAGATGGGAAGATCTTCTCAGTGGTGGGGTTTGGGTCAATTAAGAAAGGCCATGTTGTTATTAAAATGGTCACTGTTGATCGGGATTTGGTGCTTGCTGTGTGTAAATGCTCCATCTCGCGGGGCTTATAGATGTGCATAATGTTTTTCTTCTCTCTTTAGTAATGGTCTGAATTAGCAGTAAACAGCAGGAGGCCTATTGCTGCTTTAGCCCTCAGTCTTTGTTTTGTGACAAAGCTACAGTTTTATCAAATGACAGGCAGGCTTCCTAGAAATTTTCTCGCCTACTTCCTTCCCTTTAAACATGAGAAGAGGCCTCTAGGGAGAGAGCTTCCTGTCTAACACTGGCCTGTTGCACATGAAGCCTTGGGTTCACCCCCAGCACCTAATAAACCAAGTGTAGTGCTGCCTGCCTGTAATCCCAGCACTCAGAAGGTTGGGACAGGAGCATTGGCAGCTCAAGGTCATCCTTGAGCACTCACAGGCATTAATGAGACAGTCCCGTTGGCAAAATGCTTGCCATGCAGCATGGGGCCTGAGCATCCCTGTAGCCACACAAAATGCTTGCTGTGTAGCGTGAGGCCTGAGCTTGGGTCACTGTATCTACACAAAAGGCCTGGCATGGTGGTGTACATTTGCAATCCCGGCATGGAGAAATGGAGACAGAGCAAATACTCTAGGCAACTCAGTGAGTCCTCAGTTCAATGAAGAGCTCCAGTATCAGAAAATAAGATGGAGAGCTGCTAAGAAACTTCTGGCCTACATGCATGCACAAACACACACACACACACACACACACACACACACTACAGAAGTGCATATAAACACACAAATCACACATGTGCATAGACACACATACACATGTGCTCACATGTAGGAACATGCACCCACATATACAACACACATACACAAAAGAAGCTGTGAGACTGTGCTCATCTTGCTTGATGGTGAGTGATGGGGACTGTGTTTCATATTGTGGTGTGATCAGGCCTTTCAGTGAGCAATAAGCCCTCTAGGTCTGTTGGCCTTGGAAAAATACTTGTAAATTCTAATTTGCATGAGAACCTAAGAAATTCAGTTAAACACTGATGATGCTGGTGTTGCTAGTGTACTCTAGCATGACTACAGAATCCACAGACCTCTGCTCCACAGCAGTCCTTTGCCGGGCACTGAGGATGTGCAAGAATGTGAGATACAAAGGCCTACAGCATGCCAGCTTTCACACCAGACTCCAGCTAGAAAGCAGGCCCTGTGTCTCTGTTTTCTCTCTCACTGTAGTGTGGTGTTGAGTGACAAGAATGTTCTAGGAGTCATTTGGCGTTGTTTCTGAGGTCCCTGATAGAGGCTGGTCAGCTGCCTTGGCATTGGAGCAAAGACATGTTTAAATCCTTAGAAGGTTCCTGATGGGACTTTCAGACTCACAGGGGGCATCCAAAGCAATGGCATAAATATTAACACATGTAGCCAAGTGTAACCCAGGAGGACTTTGAGCTAGAAGCCCTCCCGTCTCAGCCTCCCAAGTATGTGGCTTCTGAGGAACGACACCAGAATTTGGCCTCTGGCCAAACGCAAGTGTGCACATGAACATAGGCACTTCCAAAAGGGAGGCCTGTCATTGTGCTGAGGCGGCTCCAAGAAAGCCACGTAAGAAGCCAAGCGAGGACGTTGTCCCAGGGCTAGCTCGCAGTTCCCTCTGTGGTGGTGCCCTTCCCTCCCTTTTGTCTCTCTCTGTCTAGACAAATGGTGGTGAGACCAGCACACACAGATTCCAACTGACACTTATACTTCCTGGAGGATGTAATCTGGCATTTGGACTTCTCTGGTTTCATTTTGTTTTGTTTTCAGGATCTTACATCAAAGTGAAAATTTATAAAAATTTTGAATAGCTTTCTGGTAATGAGAAAAGGAAGAAAGAGAGAGAAAGAGTTCTTAGAGGTGTTGCCATCATCTGTCCTAAACATGGGCTTTAGTTTTATTTAGTTTAGTGTGTATTGATCCAGTGGAAGTTGCTCAGAAGTCTACTGACAGAGGACAACAGCAAACAGAAGTGACCCCATTGACCACCCCTATGAGCTTAGTTTACATGCTTTAAGAGTCAGCAGTTAAATCAGTGCGGCCTATAACTGGTTCTCTAACTCCTCCCAGTTATCCGCCTGTGTCAGGGTGTCCTTTGTAAGAGACCAGCCTGTGAGTAGGCTTTGCAGCCAAGGAGAATGTGTGCTGAAGTTTCTCCGCTGTGTCATCACAGCTTGAGGACAGTCACCAAGTTACAGACTGTCAACAGCGGAGTGTGGTCAGGTTCCAATAAAACTTTATTTTCCATGGTGGAAATGTGAGTGAGCTTCAGGGAATTTTCCTCTGTCATGTTTTAGAGGGAGCTCAGACAGTGAAATGTTCTGCCGTGTTCCAGGACCTGTGTTCTAGCCTCAGAGCCCACATGGCAAAGCTGAATACGGTGGCACATGCTTGCAGCGCCAACACTGGAGTTAGAGACAGGAGGCTCCCTAGGGCTCCCTGGCTGGCCAGCCTAGCCGGTTTGGCAAGTTTCAGGTCAGCAAGAGACTTTGTTTCAAAAGAAGCCAAGGTAGATGGTGCCTTGAGAATGATAGCCTAAAGTTGACCTCTGACCAACACACACACACTTGTTCTCATCTATGTACATATGCACATACACAGGCACATACCCAGGCACAGAAAAGAATATAAACCAATTCTTGGCTCACAGCTATGCCAAGATAACCAGCGGGCCAGGTTTTGCTCAGTTTAATAGACCAATGAGGCTCCATTGTACTGTGTCAGTTTCCAGCCAATCTAGCAGTCAAATCCTATTATATCATACTTGGATATATATAAAAGCTACCCCGCCTAGTAAATGAGATTTAACTCTGTTTTGTGTTACTCCAACATAATACTGGAGCCAGACTTGTTTACTGTGGAATGGAATTTATTTCTCACTTTTGGAGGCTGAAAACTCCAAAATGGAATAGCCCCCATCCAGAGAAGACCATAGCCTACTGTGCAAAGTTCTGTCTTGGGTCTCCAGTCATCTTCTTTTAAAACCACTAATGGCATCATGGGCCCTCATCTATCTCTAATTATTCCCCCAAACCCTGCCTTCAAATATCGTCAGCATACCAGTGCTTCATACCAGTGTGAAGAGTGCCTTTCTAGCACGAAGCGGATCCTTGTAGCTACAGCACAGGTGTCACCCAAAGTCAAATGTTAGAGTTAAGGGATAGGAAAGTTGGCAGAGGCTGAAAGCCGTGAAGCATGCCCCATGCTCTAAGCACAGTAAAAGCTATAGAGTGATGGGACTTTGTTTCTTTCATCACACTGATTAGGCACCTACTGAATGCCCAGTCCTACCCGGGTGGCTAAGTCCACTTCGGTGAATCTTGCAGGCCCCTTCTAGCATTCCTGGATGCTTGTTTCACTGGTGTTTGGGCCACCCTCAGCTGCCGGCCAGTTCTGTCTGCCTGGGTGGCTGAGGCCTTCTTTGCAGGCATGGATGATTGGCATGCATGTGATTCCAAAACCACCTGGCTGGGGTGTCGCCTAGAGGTAGAGAGTTCAGTCAGACTGCAGGAGGAACTGGGTTTAACCCCCAGAGGCGTAAAAATAAACTCAAAATGAACAAGTAAGAAAACAAGACCTACGCTTCCTCCCAGTGGCAATTTTACTTTCGAGGGTTTGTCCGTTTGTCTCACTCGACCATACAGCTTCTCGGTCACAGTTGACACATAGCTTTCCTTGCAGGTGCATGCTGCGGGTGCTAGACTCCTTTGGAACAGAGCCTGAGTTCAATCATGCAAGTTACGCCCAGTCGAAAGGCCACAAGACCCCCTGGGGGAAATGGAATCTGAACCCACAGCAGTTTTACACCATGTTCCGTGAGTATCCGTGTGCGGCCTCTGCCTTTCAGAACGCTACCAAAGATGGCTGCGGAGGCTAACTAGACAATCAGCTGTCTGGGGCTGTGACTCTAGGGACCCTTAGCTGAAAAAGTACGTGCCTTTGAACTTTTTCCTTGGCAATAATTGGATCTTTTTTTCTGGAATTGGAAATTGAAAGCCCACATGAACATTTTGAGTGGAGACTTAGAAGTGACCTAGAGAAAAGTGTTCAGTACAGATTACCCACAGAGACCTCGTGGGAACGGCCTGCAGATCACCTTCAGATGAGCACTCAGTGCCCATGTCCCAGCACGAGATCCTTGCTGGGGCCGCTGCATCCTTAAGGGAAATGAGGTCTTCCGTGCCAACCACTCTTTCCACACAGTTCAGTCTTAATAATTTGAGCACGAAGCTTTTTTTCTCTCTTGGTTTTTCAGGACAAGGTTTCTCTATGTAGCTCTGGCTGTCCTGGAACCCCGTCTTTAGACCAGGCTGTCCTCAGACTCATAGAGATCCACCTGCCTCTGCCCCCTAAGTGCTGGGATTAAAGGTGTGTGCCTCCACCGCCTGGCTGAGCATGAAGCTTTTAAAAGAAATAATCATCATCATCATCATCATCATCATCATCATCATCATCAGCTCAGAGCTATGGAGAAAGCACTTCCATGTAAGCCTGAGGACCAGAGTTCTGGTCTCCAAACACATATAAAGGACAGGTAACATTAGTGGCAATGCCTGTAGTCCCAGCCCTCTGTGGGTGGATTCCTGGAGCAAGCTGGCTAGCTGGAATAGTCAGTCAGTGGCTGATTGAAAGACTGCCTCAGCATGGAGTAGAGAACAACTGAAGACACCGGGCTCCAGCCCCTTCTGCGTCCACATGCACCTATAGTAGCTATAGCTGTAGTTTCAAATGAGTAACTTTATTGAGCTTATAGCATGCAAAAGCTTAAAAAAAACCAACAGCAGGTAGAAACATCAACGTGGGTACATACAACATTTAACCGACAACTGGAGCAGCCTGATAGAGTAAAGAGGGGTATGGTCGTCAAACTGGGTCTTATAGCTCTGGTAGGAGCATGATTTTCTCAGCTGCAGATGGTTTCTGTGACTGTGTAACTTTAGAATTCTGGGACTTTTCTGAGGGCATATAAATGCTAGGGCTTCAGAGCCAGGTTGGATTGTTGGTTGCTGTTGGTCACGGTTTGTTAAGTAGTCGTGTGCAAAGAAGCAACAACAAGAAGAAATTAGATATCCTGATGAAGAAGATCAAATTTGTCCCAAGGAACTCAGTGCTCCTCAGTAGGACATTGCTCTCTTTCCAAGCCCTGGCTTTATTCAGGGATCTCTTTCCTTTCCTCTCCATCCTTGTTTCTCTCATGTCTAGCGTTAAGGGCTGAAAGGGAAGAAGGGGGGTGGACAAAGATGGAAGAGGAACCCACAAAGCAGTAAAACACTGGAGACTCTTCCCTCCCTGGCTGTCCTGAAGTCGTGCTATCGGGTTGTTTCTCATTCCCTCTTCTCGGCCACAGGGTCACGGGCCAGCTTCTCCTCAGGCAAGGGGCCTTGCAGGATGCTGTGAGACAGATGCTTGGGTCTGAAGTGGGAGATTCAGACCTTGCTGCCTGAGTCCACTTCTCTGTGTGCTCAAACAGGTCATGATAGTTCACCAACATAGTGGATCTTACAAATCTCATACCAACTGCTACATTCACTGGCCCTGCTTCTGGACTCTAAGACATCTCCATGAAAGCCCTTTCCTGTCATCTCTGGTTCTTCCTGTTGCTCTCCATTTCCATGCTTTTGCCTCATTTCTAATTAGCAACAGACTGTGAAACCAAGTACCAAACTAGACAGTTTATGCCAGCGTTATGATTGAGTCCCCATCTCCACCAGGAGGGTACATTCTATTTTGGAAATGTTAGATCACTTGAATGAAACCATTTATTTGAAGGTTAAGGATAGAGAACTCCCCCTTTCTAAAGTTATCTAGGTGCTTCTGTGCTGAAATGAATTTCTGAAATGCCAGTCGATTTCCGTGGCTGAGTCCAGGCCCTAGAGATGACTGCAGTGACTTCCTCCTTGCGGCTGCTCCTTGTGCCTTATGCAGCTGCCCAGAGGTGATCCTTTCCTTGGCCCCTGAATGTCTCTGGACATGTGCCTTCTTGGGAATTAAGTCTGGGAAGAGGAGAATTAAGAAGGGTGTATGGGTCTACAGCTGGTGGGTAGCCATGTTAAAAGTCAGCTCCTGTTTAGGAACTGGGGAGATGCCTCAGTTCGTAGAGGGCTTGTGAAAACCTGAGCTGGACCCGAGGAAGCATGGGAAAACCCAGGTGTGATGGCGTGCACTTGCCATCCCCATGTTGGGGGAGAGGAGGAGAGAGCTGGATCCTGCAAGATCAGTGGCCAGTCAGCGCAGCCCACTTGGTCTCCAAAAAACGCAGATGGTAAGGATGTCAGAGGTTGTCTCTGAAACTCTACATGCACATCCCCCCGCCAAATGCGCGCACACACACACACACACACACACACACACACACACACACACACACACACACACAGAAAGGTGTGGGGGGGAAGCTGTGTACATGTTCTTTTGAGCCCAGAGGGTTTGGTGAGAGCATGCTGTGTGTATGATAGATATCATCATCATCATCATCATCATCATCATCAGAGTTATATCATCCTGTTCTTGCCCCCTGTCCAGGGGCACAGTTCAGGGAGCAAACTAGTACTTGGTGCACCAGGTGACAGATGGCCATCAGCATGGCAAGGCATGATTAGAGTCTGCCTGGGCTCTGCCTCTGCTACAAAGTTCCGAGTCTGGATAGACATGCCGTCCAGTCAACACAGCAGCAGCCCGTGTTAGGACCAGGAGGTACAGCCTGTGTGTACACGTGCTTTCTGAGACACGGTGGCCGTACCCTGTGGAGTCTTCTCCTGAGGAAGAGTGGGACTCGGCACCCTGCAAACCTGCTTTCGTACTGTGGACAGATGCATTCAGGGGAATGAGTTCCTTCAAGTGAAAGCTCTCTGTTTAAAATGTAATGAAAGCCAGAAGCAGGCAGTACTCTCTTAACCTGGAGGAGCGATAGAGTTCCTGGATTCAGCAGAAATCGGGGTAAAGCTGACGCAGTCGAATGCCTCTTAAGAAAGGAACCCACAGGGCAAAACAGTAGCAGCCACCCCTAAGGCTGAAAGCAAGCCGTGCAGTGGAGAATGTTCACATGGCTATTTGAGGCTGTTAGAGGGAGGTGGGGCAGCCACGACATCGCCACGAGGAAGGCATATTTACAGCGTTGACACTGAGACCGTGGGCGATCCTCAGTCTGAAAGGATATTAGTGACATCATAAGAACTAAATACTGGGCGGAGAGATAACTCCATTGCTGCAGCATTTGCCATGAGCCTGAGGTCCTGAGTTTGATTCCCATAACACGAGTAAAAAGCTGGGCGTATTGATTCAGCCTGTAATCCCACCACTGGGGAGGCAGAGAAAGGTGCAGCCTTGGGGCTTGCTGGCCCACCGATTACATAAATCAGCTCTGGGTGGATGAAGGTACCCTGTCCCAGAAAGCAAGGGGGGTGGTACCAGAGGAGTGGCATCTGAGGCTGGCTTCTGCCTTCCGTACATAATCCTCAACATACACTCAAGCATACTCACCACAGACATGCACACCTACACATACACCACACCACACACGCATGCATACATGCATACACCATACAGCGTCACAAACAAATGAAGTATTTTCAACTCTGTTTTGAGAAGGACCAAAAGAAGGACCCTGATGAAGGTTGTGCGAGTGCAAGCCTTCGGACTAGGCTTCCTCAAAAGACCAGGCTTTTTCCATGTAAAAGAGCCTCCTCCCAGACAAAGTCAGACTGCAGATGTGAGGTAGGGGAGGCAAGGGGACCATAAAGGACCACAGGGATGATATCGGGTTCAGAGCATCCCCAAACAGTATCTAGAGAACACTGGCTACAGTGGATTAAAATCAGATGGATGACAAATAGCCAGTGGGGCTGGAAATTCCTCTCAGTCAGAGCTCTTGGCTGGCATGCCCCAAGCCCTGGGTTCCATCCTGAGCATCACGTTAACTGAGAATGGTGTTTCACACTTTGGCTACATTGCAAGTTCAAAGCTAGCATGAGGCATATGAGACCCTGCAATTGATGAGTCCAGAATGATGTGAGAATATGCCAAGCAAAAAATGTAGTGGGTCACCTTTGCAAGTTGCTAGGATACCATCTCATTACTCTGAATAATAAAGGGGGAAGTGCCCAGCTTTGATCTTCCTGCCTTTCTAGCACAAATTATATTTGAAGATAGTCAAATGGTTGATGATAAGAAACTGTTAACAATGGGAAAGCAGCGCTGCGAATGCAGGCAGAATGAAGGATTAGGAAACAAGCATCTTCAGACCGTCAGCCACTGTGAGACCCGTCGAGCATCTTCAGACTCTGGATGAAGATGCAGAGCCAGTGACCGTCAGCCACTGTGAGACCCGTCGAGCATCTTCAGACTCTGGATGAAGATGCAGAGCCAGTGACCATCAGCCACTGTGAAACCCGTCAAGTAACAAGTTGATGGAGAGCTTCCCATAGATCGGGCTATCTTAGTGCAGGACATATGGAAATAAGCTGGAAATGAGGCGTCCTGAGACATTCATCACGTCAAGGCGTGCTGAGGCTGGGACTTCACAATAGAAAACAGTGTCTGTACCTCCCTATCAGACACTGCCCTCGGTGACCTCCAGTACCTTAGTCAACAGGGTCTTTTCCTCCCCATGTGACAAGACCAGCTTGTTGGGCAGCTATGGCTGTTCTGGTGATCTACAATGGAAGACCATTTCTTTGAACAGAGACGAAAAGTGCCAAAGAGGTCATTTTTTCCTTTTAATTTTTTTTAATAGGCTCCCCTGTATTTCAGGCTGGCCTTGAACTCACTTTGTAGCCAAGGATGGCCTTGAACTCCCAAACTTTGTGTTTTACTGGGG